AGAGAGAGAGAGAGAGAGAGAGAGAGAGAGAGAGAGAGGGGTGTGTGGTGGCTGATGCATGTAAGTGGCACGTCAAGAGGCTTGCTAAGGGGTGAGTGAAAGGAGGTGCGTCAAACGCGGTCGGTTGAGGTCGGCTGGGGTCGGTTGGCGTCGAGGGAGAGGGTCGGTTGAGAGGGATGACCGGGTGGCACGACTGCGAATTTGAAAACCGCACGATGCCATATCATGAGCTGCTGGGACGAAGGGCATGTTGCTGGGAGGTTGCGACACCGCAACTTAGGCCAAGTGGGGGGCTCGACGGCGGCCAGGCGGCACGCACCGCACGCCCCCCGCCGTGCCACGCACCCTGTCGCCAGCGCTGCCCTGCTCGTGCCCGGCGTGGCTGACAGCGAGCACGTCCGCGCGGCCCCCGAAGCAGTCGGAGAAGAGCGCCTCCATGAAAGCGACGTAGAAGCGGCAGCTGCCGGGGTTGCCAGGGAAGATGACAACCTGCAGCTGTGGCGGTTCGTGCCCGCTGCTTGTTGCGCAGATGACCTCCGTCGGCACGCCTGTGACGCTCACCACCCTGCTCTTGATCTCAAAGGCGACGCTGGCGGCCGGCGCGCGCTGCGCTGCGGCGCTGGGGGCGTCGGCACCAGCGCCAAGCGCCAGCAGTGGCGCAAGCGACGCCATCGCTGCGATAGCTGACCGCGCCCGTGCCTGTGATCAGCAAGCTACAGGCAGCCGGAGATGCTCGTCAGTTTCTGTGTGATGATATTGCTGCGTGTCCGTGCTCAGCGAATCGGCCGGCCAGTGCCAAGACACTACCGTATTATACGGTGAATCGGCAGGTATAAGGATTGACGTACGGATGCGTCAGTGTAATATATCATAATGTATGCCATCTTACCTGCGCTGAGGCCGATGACCAGCTGTTTGCAGGTGTAGACATTGCACGCCAACCAAACAACTGCACGAGTCCCAGGAGTGTGCCCCGCTGCACCATGGACAAGCATACGGCACGCCTCTCCAATGCCTCGACGTCAGCCAGCAGCATGCCTTTGACATGCTCAGTCAAGCTGCTGTATGTGACTCACCACATGGATCCACACAGATGCGGGTCCCAGTCGCTACACATGCCTCCATGAGCCTGTGATGACAACAGCTTGCATCCGTGCCAGCCCTGGCCTCCCACTATACACCATGCTCCTAATGCACAAGTGGCAGGGATGCGAATTGCACCCCTGACTGCTGACCACCTGTCCCGCCAGTGTGATAGCCTGCCTATGCCTTACAAAGTGGCAAACGGAGAGCCAACTGACAGCACACCGGCCTCAACGGTGGCCAACCTACGACCGAAAGGCACACCGATGACTGTGAAACTCACTGCTGCGGTAATTCTGCCCGCATGCAAAAATTGAGGGCTGCAATCCTCTGGGGGAAAAGGGCCGATGGGAGGCCGCGGCATACTTGGGAGTGCACAAAAAGGGGGGCAGGCAAGGTGCGGGGCTCGCTGCAGTGCCGGACACCCGGCGCCCAGGCAGGGGGTGAGGGGGGCGGTCGGGGATGGGGTGGGGGCGCCGGGAGGCTGTATGTGGTTGTGCTGGAGAGAGGTGGGCGAAGGCAGGGCGCACACACGTGGTACAGTAGACCGGCCGGCACAGCCAGGCCCAGGGCAGGGCCCTTGCGCAGGGCAGACCAAAGGCTGGGTCCCGCCGTCAAAGGCGACGCCGCAGCCCCCGCAGCCCGAGCAGCCCCGCGCCACGCCTGGGCCCGCCTGCCAGCCAGGTGGGGTGGAATCACAGGGTTGCAGCGCCGTGACAAAAAAACGCGGCGAAAACAGCCATGACACTGGCTTGGGCGACGATACTGCGCTCGACCTTTCAGGCCCGCCCGCGGCGCGCGCGGGAACGGCAAGGGGGTTGCACCCTTCCGTTGACGCGACCAGGGTGGCAGGATAGGTCCAAAGTGGGGCCAGATACGAGGGGCGGTCAGCTAGCGTTTGCCGGCAGGCTAGATGGAGTGCGGTCTGGGTCCCTGCTGCTAGAGAATGGGGCTGTGGCTATTGCGGCGGCGCAATCAAGGTGCGCCGAGTGCCGCCCATTGGAAGCGCGCGCAGACGACCGCAAATTCGCCTGGCCGGGCTTGCGGCCCGTGGCCGGCGTGCGCAGAGGCGGCTAAACAGTCACGAAGGTGGGCAGGCGCGTGCGCACACGCACCCCTGGCAAATATAGGGGCCAAGGGGGTGGGCGAGCGCCGCGTCAGCGCTGCCGCTTGAATCTGTTTGTCCTCGTCAGCACACGGGCGAAGCCACCGGGCCGTTGCCGGCGAGCAAGTGCCAGCTGTGGATGTGCCCCACGGCAGGGTGCCACGCCCTCCCCTGCCTCCCCATGGGCACGCCGCCTAGCAGCGGGGACGCCCCCGCCCTGCGACGGCTGGGGCCGCCTCAGGCATCACCATGGCCGCCCCAGCCCTGCGCCACGCCTGGGGGGTGGCCGGCTGCTGCGGCGCGGGCAACACCGGCGCCTGCAGCGCCACGCCCTTTTCGAAATCGCGGTCCGACAGCCGCACCCTCATAGTCTGCCCCTCCATCCGCGCGCCGTCGAGGTTGCGCGCGGCGCGTGCGTGCGCATGCTGGTCGGAAGCTGAGTAGACGACGTAGCCGTAGCCGAGGCTGGCCTGGTTGCGGGGGTCCCGCGCGATCCACAGGCTGTCGATCGGCCCGCAGCGCGAGAAGAGCGCCATCAGCGCGCGCTCGGTCACGGAGCCCGGCAGGTTGCCGACAAAGACGCCGCGGCGCGGCGCGGGCGGCGGCAGGCGCGGCGGCGCGCTCGGCGCGGGCGCGGCGGCGGCGCCAGGT